GTGGCTGAAAAAATGTCCGGAGTTGTAGTTGACTTGGTCAATGTCACTGCTCCAAAAATGCGGCCGAAAAAACATCTGGATTTGTATTTAACATGCTGAATGTCATTGCCCTGAAAATGCGGCCGAAAGAATGTCCGGATTTGTGATTAACTTGGTGAACATCACTGATCCGAAAATGTGGCCGAAAAAACATCCGGGTTTGTATTAGTGCAACAATGTCCGAAGTTTCAGATGTAATTTTGACATGGACCAGACAACCCCCCGCGGAATGCTCTGAAGTCCGAAATTTTTTAAGTTACTTCCATCCAGATATAATGATCCCCATAGACTGCACCAATGTCCGAAATTTCGGATGTAATTTTGACAAGGCCAGACAACCCCCATAGAATGCTCCAATGTCCGAAATTTAGTACTTCAAGTACCCGAAAATGCGGCCAAAAAAACATCCAGATCTGTATTTCACATGCTGAATGTCATTGCCCCGAAAATACGGCCGAAAAAATGTCCGGATTTGTGATTAACTTGGTGAATGTCACTGATCCGAAAATACGGCCGAAAAAACATCCGAATTTGTATTAGTGCAACAATGGCCAAAATTTCGGATGTAATTTTGACATGGACCAGACAACCCCCCATGGAATATGTTGATGTCCGAAATTCTAGACTACACAACTTTGTAGTGTCTGCTTTTTAGACTACCCAATTTTGTAATGACCAGTTGAACTCAGGCAGAACTCTCTCAATTCTTAACCGATTTGGATGTTCTTGGGCTCGTTTTGACAGGTAAACCCGTGGGGTTGTGGGTACAGGTACTCTACAGGTCATGTATCGGCCACTTGTCCGATATTTATAGGTTTTTTAGTGTCCTTGATCATGAATGAGTATATGGGTTCATGGGTCTACAGTTGAACGAGTCAGAAGGGTGGACATTTGCCATTTCTGTATCATTGGTTTATTATGAATAAGTACATAGATTCAGGGTGCTATAGTTGAAGGAGTGATAACAGTGGGCATTTTGCTATTGCTTTCACTGTCTGTGTCACCTCTTCAACCATACATCCCCATGAACATATGTACTTATTCATTGATGTCTGGTCTCCCAAACTTGAAAGTTTGTAGTCCACTTTTCTGACATATAATTTTTAGTGTCCTTCACTATGAATAAGTACATAGGTTCATGGGACTATCATTGAAGGAGTGAAAAGGATGGACAAATTGACATTCCAGTATTTCACT